GGCCCCTGAGATCCTACTGTGGCTGTCTCGCATATATGATAACAGCACATTAGATTTATTTTAGGAGACGGAAATAAATGAATCTGTGGGAGCCAAGAAACATTAAACTAAGAATTAGAGGGGAAAGAAAGGGTAGTGTTGCTGCTTGAACTTTCACAAAGATCCATATATATATATCCATATATTCTCATAATGCATCATTATTTGTTACAGCATTACCAAATGGTCTACGTAAACCTTTTCCTACTTCAATGATAAATTGTTTCTTTTACAAATATCTGAGTGCAACATCATGTTTCCACAGCTAACCACAAATATCCGGATATGACAGCGAAGACACGGAAGGTATCCTACAATGCAATTCCTACATTTCAAATGAACGAATGCATTAATAATTGAATCATAATATATAGGACACTTGTGAATAACCTTTCAGTGTATAAGCCTAGAATGATGCATTAGTATTTGTAAAAATAACAGTACATCAAAAGGGGAAATGACTGCTACAACACAATGCTCTAATCGCACCTCAAACAACAAAAAGCCACCGAGGTTCTAGCTCGGCCTCCATCACAAGTGAACATATAGCGTTTACTCAGCATTTTACTCCGGACGAGTCAAGCCTATAATGTAGCCGCTCATTCAAGTCAGGGCTCAAAAGAATTGTCTTTAGATAAGTTCCATATTTAGCTGATGCTGCGGCTTGTATGTCCAGATGTGATAGCTATATCCCACTTCAGGAAATGAACTGTAGCTTGGTTTCTGGATATGGCCACCTGCTGGAAGCACAGAAAAGTAACTCAAAGTCCCACCCTCTCTGCAGGCTTATACAGTTGACTTCTGACAGTACAAGGAACACAATTGATTTTATTATTGTTAAGTCACCTGTGAGAGACTGGAAATCACATGCGATATTGTACACTATCTTTATTTATTAATTACCATATGTACTAATCCTGTTCTGGCACTGCTTCTACAGTTCATTGTGCTGCGTGATGGCTTGAAGAGACCGTAGATCCTTGAGTAAAATACAAATATATACTTGTCTCATGGGAGTCTCATATTTTCATGAGTCATTGGGTGTTACTGAGTCAAAGTCATTCTGAAAGTGGAAAGTACAGCACATGTACCAGTCAGTATTATACCAGGAATATGAAAACCACAGAAAAGATTTCCATGTTTCTGCTCAATCACAACAGACCAATATGATTACCTTCATGGTTATTATAGACTACTTTGTGGATTGAAGTTGACTTGGGGCTGTATAGTGGTGATACCCCCACATGCTTGCGCTGCCGCCTCATAAGTGAATGAAGAGTAATGCTTGAATGATCCAGCTCAAAAGAGAAAGCAGATCACTTCAAAAGGCGTATCAATAGCTTTGACTTAAATTCCCTGCAGATCTTTGGCGTACTTTTGAACTTGGCCCAGCCTAAAACTGAATATTTGGTATCTGACCTCCTGTTCTGAACTCTGTTAACTAAACCCTGCTGGAGGTCAGAATGCATATATCTCACTTTTTCATTGCAGGCTGACTATGATTCAGTCATGCTGTCAAGTAGATCTCAGATTACAGGGGTCTTTGAAAAATCTTACCTCTCTTTCTGAACTGAATTTTGATACGCATACGTTAGTCCTTTAATGTAAATCTTTGAGTAATACAGTGTGCATCATTGGAATAGTGTGCATTGTATCTGCTTTCCTCAACAAAACTAGACTTATAACAACTTAACAATTTACTGTACTCATGTGATTGTGTTTCCACACTCACAAAACCTTGAAAGATGCAGAGAAAGATAGGAAATACTGTTGACAGTGTAATGCTGGGTTATTGTTGAAGGGAGGCATCTACCGTTACTGTGAGTGCACTGTCCTCGTCAGACACGGTTGGAGTGAGGTATGGCCCATCCATCTCCACCCTTTTATTTGCTTATGCTGCGATGGAAATAAGTATGTTGTTGGAATCAACACATGAATTTTTCTCAAAATGGCCTGTGAACAGTTTGTTCCTACTGGTAACGTCTTCACAGGCGAGGAAAGCAACTTCCAGAGACCAGATTGAATACTCTAGTTATGTTGAGGGGTGTCTCATGCTTTCATTTGAGAATAAAATAAACACTGAGTTTGTGTTGCCGGTTTTGCAGGGCTTAAGGACACATTTCCTATGCCTTTCATAATTTCCATGTACAGTAGGAACCTTGTCACATTACAGCCACACCCAAAGCATCATCTGAATGCTGAAGAATGTCCATTTGTACCAGAGTTTTTGTTTAAAGTGATAAAAAAGTGGATTTGTTTTCTGTCTCACATCTACAGGTATCTCACATACCTGTCTGTATTGTGAAAGATGGCAGTTATTAATGAGAGAAACAAGAGTCGGGGCAGTTTTTAAAAGCATCACAGGAAACCATCTGTCCTTTCATCCACCCGCATTAAGTCACCTTGGTGGCTTGCATCAAAGAGTTCCTTTACCATATACGTCAGCTCTACCCTGCCTTGACCTCTCAGGCAATTGATAAAAGCTGTTAGCGTGACATTAACATCAACCAACAATATATTTGTCCTCGTCACACACTGACTGTGAAAGGTTTTGATATTCAATGGTCTGTGTTGGGTTAGTGCGCACTCACATGGGAATATGTATAAGACGTGTTTCCTAAATTACGAAGAAATATTTGGATCTAGACAATCTGCCTGCATCTTGCTTTTATCTTAATTCACAACATAGATTTATGCATTAAATAGGAACTGTTATACATTGTTAATCCCATAGTCCAATTTTTGTTAAAGAATCAGTTTAATCATTCATAATTCTGGTACAATTTGGCTGCATATGAGTTTTACATTTTCTCTCAGAAAAGGTTGCCTAGCAACACCAAAACCGTGGAAGGCTTTGCAGGAAATAATGGTGGTGTGAGTAATGACCTACAGACAACAGAACATGGATTAACTCGGCCAGTGTTATAAATACTTCCATATGGTGCATTTTGGAGCCTCTTGTTATGCATTTGATGATTTAGGAAATGCCGTATAAATGCAGAGATAGCTCAGTTTTTCAGATTACCTTGCCTGATATAAACTGCTGTCAGAGCTAGGCTGTCAACTTTTATTCACACAGATAATTTCACAGCACAATGACCTCTGGGAACAAAGTCTGTTTTAGCTCAGTCAACGCTGCAGCAATCCTCCCTATACTTGGCTTGGACACTTTTTAGAGTTCAACAGCAAAATGCTGTTGAGAGTTCTTTCCTGTTGACATTTAGTCCACAGATATATTTTTAACATGCAATACTTTTCATGCATTCTATACTAATGCTTCAAATGATAATGTACTAGTGTTGATTGTGTGGATTGTATTATATGTACAAGATAGACTAGTTAAATTGTGACTTTGGAACAATGCCAATTTCAAAATGAAGAATTTCTAAACAGTAAGCTGAAAGGCTTAAAGATTCAGTCATTCTTTTTTTTTTACCACTTAGGGTGCATTAGAATATTCTGAAAACACAACATTTACGGATTATCACATAAAAAAGTTGGCAAACATGTTTTATAAAGTTAAAACAAATGTGTTAGCAAACAATTTCCTATCTACACATTCAACAGACATGTAGAAAAATTAGCATTCATGTTATTCACATGTGTATTCACTTTGTGGTTTGGTCTCCACTAACTCCTGAGTGAAATAGTAGTTTTTTTAGCTGCTAAATGCTCCACTATGCTCATCAGTTAGTTTGTCACCTCTGTCTGTTGCAGGTAACCGCAGTGGGTTTGTTGAGCTTTTTCACTGAAAATAGCTGCCTGCTGTGATTTTATCAATTGTAAATACAAAAATATTGAGCTTTAATATGAAAAATATAGATTTGTGCATATTTCAGATTATTATTTTATTGCTTTGCATGCAGTGCCCAGAGCTGTCTACAACAACACATCAACAGCCCTGTCAAAACTAAATAATTGTAGTATACATGCTGGAATTTTTAAGTACAATTACTTTAGTAATTTTCTCAGTCTGAAGACACTACATTGCAAGCACTATTAATGTATGTTGGGACCATAGAGTTTTTGCAACCAGGAAGTGCCTGGAAGTGACGATACAGAGGAGCTAAAGGCCGTGTGCGGAGCTAGCTAGCTTGCTTAGCTAGACAAAGTTATCAGTCCTGTTAAAATGAGTTGGGTGCAACTGTAACTCATATAAGCAAATGAAGTGATATGTGTTATTTACACAAGCTATGTCGAAACATGGCATATAAATTCTGCAAAGTGTGGCTGTGTGACGGTGTTTGTAATAAGGCGATAAGGTCTGCTGAATTCTAATTTTATTTTATTCTTGTGGGACAATTACATTCATGGCACAGTGTCTGTAATTGCTTTGACTTAACAGCATTCACATTGTCAACTACTGCCAGAACACTGTCTTGCACATTCCTTTGTGGGAAATTTATGTGTTTATTTGTTTAATTCGGTGAGACTTCTTGCCAAGATGGCACAAAGACAATCCATCATATTGTTGCCAAAGCAGTAGAATATAAATGGACACAGTATGGATAAGTCACTAATTAACCATCTTCAAGTCAAAAGTGCTTGACAAAATCACTTCACCAATGGATGCTAGTTACTCCAACCACGACATGTTTTTTTTCCTTGAGTGTCATTTTAATGTAACAACTAAAGTGTGGAAAAAGATGCATTGCTGGTCCTTGAACATTTTTTCTTTGGTTTCTAAAACAAAACTAAAAAAGAATATTGAAATGGATGAAATGTAAGAAATAGGGCTCTACAGAGGTAGATGGAGAAATGGCACAATGTAGGAAATGGTAAGGAGAAAATCCCGCTCCAGATTTGTGACATCATCCTCCCCACTGCTCATATCCAGACCAAACAGGGCTATGTGTCTGGTTTTCATTTACGTCTTTTCTCCCCCCCGCTCACCCTTTCCTCTTCTCTCCCTCCTCTTTTTCTTTTCCTGTCTTTAGAGAAAGTGGGAGGAGGACTAGAGAGGTGGCAGAACTCCAGGAGTTTTGAAGTTTGTCCCATCCCAGCCTTGAATTCAGCACCACAGCTCCTCTGGTTTGAGACCGTGAGGTTGTCTGTCTCCTTCTCTCTCAACCATTTCCTCCCTTCTCTTAGGACCCCTCTCTCTACACATCTCTTATCAGTCACGTTATCACTGCCTTGCTCAGCAGCCTTCCTTTGGGAGGTGCTGGAAAAGCCAGCAAAGGGACTTTACCAGGAGGATAATGACCAAAAGTCCAGCTCACATTTTACATTTCACACTGAACTGACTCATTTTTCTTCAAAAACAAATAGAGTGGAGTACATCTACTTCAGCTCAGGGTAAGTTTCAAATCTGCTATGTTATCAAGGTGAATCATCTTGCAGAAAGAGGTTTTTACAAGTGCATGCTTGCTTAATGTCTTTACTTATTTAAGGATTGACCTTGATTGCACTGTATGTTGATTATAAATAGTGCATTGCCCATAGCATAGTTTTCCCATCATGTAAGCTATGATGGGTGTCATGGTCATTGGGTTGCACAGTTTTTGGGTTATAGCTCATAAATATCAGACAGCATGTGTTTAGCAGCATGACTGAAGCCTATACTTTAGTGGTGAGAGTGCTGCAAGGGCAAGAGGTGAACTGCAGTTAGGGTGAAGAAGACCTCAGCAATGTTATGTGTGATGCATGTGAGTGTAGAGGGGTGTGTCTCCTCTCTTTTTCTCTTCAAAAGTCTTAAAATGCTTCCCTTCTCTTTTGCGTTCTTCTTTTGTGCAAAGTTGAATTTACTGCCTAGGTGTCAAATAATTGTGGTGAGAGAAAATTGTAAAGAAATGCTGCATCTAAAGTCTCAAGCTGTGATCATAGATCAGTGCTCTGAACCTGTGAGTTGCACTGAGTAGTGTCAATTTATCAAAGTTTTGTACTTCTATGGTAGAATGCAGTTTTTGTGTAGTGAATGTGTCATATAATACAACCGATAGTCTCCTGTCACAGTCCTCTAAAAATGCTGTATCTTATTGCAAGCAATAAGGAATGTCACTGATCATCATTCAATAGCTGATTTTTGTGCACTTTATTAGTATTTTCAAATCTTATACTTCATTAAATTAATTCGAATTAGGGAACGTGTTGGTAATGTTACAGTCACATCCAAGTGTTTAAAACTCGCATGTGAGCTCTAAAGAAGAGTAGCTGGATGGGAGGATGTTTCCACTGCAGCAGTAGCCCAAAACCACACCCTCTCTGAAATGAGTGCAAGAGTGGAAAAGCGTGAAGAAAGTGTTTTCCACACTTCTGGCCAGATGGATCAGGAGAACCAAAAGAACTTAGTTTCATTGGACAAAAGAGGTGGGGTGGGTGGTGGTGGTAGTGGACCGGGTGTGGGGCCATTAATCTTCCACTCCTCCTACAAGACTGTCCATGTAGGGACAGTGGAATTCAGTTGTGTCTTCACTTTTCATTGTGAGCATGTGGGATTTGATGTGCAAATGAAGTTTTTTTACACTACCAAGTCACAGCACAATGTCACTGCATTGTATACATGTCGTTTGTCACAAATATTTCTCACAAGATACTAGTTGCAAGTAATTTAATGTTTGCATGTACCCGGTTGCCATGATACAGAGAGGAAGAACTTGTCCTAAGAGAGAGGAAACTTATTGTGGGCTCCAGATTTGGTTTTAAGTGTTTGAAGTATTTTCACACCAGCATCACCAATGCTACAGCTCCCCTTGGAAGCTGGTGCCTAAATTGTTATTGGCAGAGCTGCAGCAGGAGAATTCTTAAAAAAGTTTATTAGATATACAGTATAAGTCAGCATTAGTGTGTTTTATGGCTACGCCACTCTCTCCAACTTTGGTCTTTTTTCCATGATGCAGGACAGATGTCTGGAAGGCTGTAACATTTTTCAGAAAGGTCTGGTCTCAGAGCACTACTGCTCCAAAGTTCTTCTTCTTTTAAATGAAACAACCATCTATACTTGCAAGGATGTAAATCACGAGTTACCATTCACACTGTTGGTCAGTGAGAGCACCAGGTTTGTGGGGGGATGATTTGACTTTTCTGTGATCATTTTGAGGTGTGGATTGATTAATTCAGATCACAGGAATAGCAAGATAAACACAAGTGTTGGAAATGAACTCACCTTACTAACTCGGTGTCTTGTTTAATACTTGAACTCAGCCAGCCTGCAGGCTTAGGTTGGCCATGATGCTTCAACACACATCTGCAAGGTGTCAGACGGACTAATACACACCAGCTGTGTGGAACTGCCCGTCCAGCCAGCCTCTCCCTCCCTCTTTTAACTTTATCAGTGATCCCCCTCTCATCTGTGCCACATGTCAAGTGGCAAGTGACAAGTCACGTCATTGCAGCTGGAGGGTGGGTTGGGTGTGTTGGTCCACGCAGCCTAGTGATTGATTCATACAAGTGGAAGCAAACTATCCCAAAGTCAAACATACTGGATCTACAAATGATATTTCCTCGCATGGTGCCAGCAAGTGGCAGTGGCGAGTTATCTCACGCTCAGAAACTGCTGAGATGACTCACATCCCTCATGACTTCACTTATTTTACTGATCTCTTTAGTGTCAGTTTGCAAAGAGATGTCTTTCGTCAGCTGCTGACATTTTAATAGATATGTAGATTGATGTAGAATATGTAGAATAGAATGTGAACTGATTAACAGCATCTGAAAATGAAAGAGATCAAATGTACTCTCTGAAATGATGTAACTTCTGCTACACTGTAGCTGAGGATTTAGTTGCCAAAAGAAATGCAGCTGTGCCTGTGTGGTCCACTGTCGGTATATACAAATTGTGATTATAGCTGCTTTAAACCATGAGAGTCTTTTATTAATATTTGTATTATTTATTTATTTATTTTCGAGGCTGGTAAAACATGGCTGGCTATTTTTTGTCATTTTTGTAGTTTGTTGAAAACTGCAAAATGCATTTTGAAGTTTTAGTGTGAAGCCAAGCCCCTCTATCTTTTGAGCTTTTGCTCAGTGTATTTAGAGGTATTCTGAAAGTACCATTTTTAGCACTTTTTGTTTTTGTGAGGTGACTGAGCTACATCCCTCTTCATATCCCCAGAGGTCTGCTTGGTATAATTGGTGAAAGATGCAATTAATAACCATTAATAGCATTGGTATCTGTCATTGAGGCTGATGAATTTTGTGCTGCACTCCACTGTAAGCAAGTGTGTGTGTTTATTTATGTGCATGTTTGTGTGTGTGTGTGTGTGTGTGGTCTTTGCTGTAAATGAGTGCTTGAGTTCCAGCTGCAAACGTTCTTCAGCGTGCACATTGCAGCATCTATCTTGCTCTGTAAATGCAAACTGACACTGTTAACTATAAATTATACTATGAGCAAGATATACTGTTCAGTATACATAGAAGTTTGTTCTGCTCACTGTATAACATAAACAGCTCACTACTTGAACGCTGAGCTTTCTGTATGGGGGTAACTGGATTACACATATTACACAAGATTGAGGAATGACTCAGCATATCATAGCGACACACACACAAGTCAATCTCATCAGGAGAAAAACACATAACTTTTCATCTTCTACACATTTTTGTTAATATTAGACTATCAGGGTCTTATATATATCTCTGCTATGCTAACAGCCATATGCAACATGATAGATCCACCTGGATGGCCATGCATATCTTTAACTTCTTAAAGCTCCTATGTGTAAGATTTTGTACTTTGGTGACTCCTAGTGGTGGTAGCAAAAAAAGACACTCTAATATACGTAATGTACCGGAGTACCCTAATATATAATGGGCTGAAAGCATCTCAAAGGCTCCACTAGTTGTTACTGTAATTGTTTCATTTTCCAGAGAAAAACTTCTAAAAATGCTCATCACACAGGGACTGGCAGTTTTGAAGCTGTGAGCAGTATCTTACAATTGGCACATGCAGTGAGTGAATGAGTGATTGACAGTATAACTGAAAGAAGGGGAGCTTAACAGTGGAGTTACTGAGTTCCCTGGGAACGCCAGAAACATGTTTGGTGCAGATGATTTTGACACCTAATAATCATTTTAATCATTCTAATAGGGATTGAGAATTACATGCAATAATCAAATGTGTCAGTTAGGAAATTAAGAGTATTTTTAGATTTTGCGTTGTCCTTTTCTCATAGAATTGTAAGTCCTTTTCCCCTGCCATTGCACTTTATGTCACAGTAGATTAGAGCAGCTTTAAACTAGTGAAGTAATTTTGATATAGTATAGTTTTTACATTCTTTCTTAAGTTTCTCTCTAAAGTAATTCCCCATGCTGCCATTGTTTTGGCTGCTTGTGTCAGAGAAAACAGGACTCCACTGTGCTACTATGTTTTCCTCTGTGGCGGCGAGGGGAAGCCATAGTGTTGACACACATTGGCCAGGCCTGGCAAACTCTGCAGAGAAGTGGCTTTTGAGTGACCTGAAATCACATGTGCATGAGTGGAGAACACAAACATCTGCTGCAGTGTCCAAGAGAGCTTAGATTTCCTTGAAATAAAGGAACTTGGTGATTTAGGCCCTCATTTGCATAGTGACAGCACTGACGGACTGCAGGGACGTGTATGTCTCACTACAAGTGTGCATTCTGTTGAAGGGATAATTTTTTAAATACTTTCTTGAGTTGGTTGGAATATATTCTCCAATCAGTTTATGTGTTTGTTTTATAAAGAAATGTAAAAAATAATCACAGAAAATTTGAATGTGAATCATGATCTTGTTTTGCGCTGTAGAATTACCCCACCGTGCATTTGTAGATACTTTGTGTGACACAACTCTGCAGGTAGCTGCTTCATAATATGTTCAGTTCAGTCTCAGTCTTCAACTGAATAGCCAATTATCCTAAAATTGTTAATTTGGTTTGGTCAGTGGGTTTTGATAGTACACACTGATGCGCCTTACTAAAAAGTTACTAAAGAGTGTAATACACTGTTGCAGTTCAAATCAGCTGTCATCCCCTCTCTCACCAGTGCCTTTCCTGTCCCTCTCTACTATGACTATCAAATAAAGCACAAAATCATCTTAACAAATCTTAATCTTATCTTAAAAATAAATAAATGCACAATAACAGTTTTTCTCACCAGTTCAAATCTTCAGTATTTCCTATAAACAGTGGACACGGCAAGTATAAACATTGTGACTCCATATAACTCAACGCCTGCAGTGGTGCATTAAAAAACGACATCCATGTGTTTATAATTCATTATTGCTGTGTATTGTGGATGGCTTTGATTCAAGCCTGGCTGACCCACACTTTCCTATCCTTGTCAAAGGGTCCCTTTTACTCATTTGAATAGGACTGAAGTGCACATTTGGTAAGATCAGAGGGGAACCTGGAAGACTGGGATCTTTTCCACAACTGAGAGTTAATTATACTGGTGTATGCTGATAGAATCAGAAACACTGCAAACTAAGCAAAAATCCTTTTAGCGTGATCTGATTTACATTTCTGTCTATGACCTGTACAGCCTTTGCCTTGAGTTAATTCAGCCTGTGTTTTATTTGTAATGTTTGCCAGAATTTACTCTCCTTTAGTTTTTGTGTTACGTTGCGTCAATGATAAGCTTAATTAGCAGTTGCAAAATCCATTTTTATAGTAGCAATCTACGCGCCAAAAGAGATTATTTTGTATTTATATTACTTACAAGGTCTTTCCTGGCTTAGCCTGGGTTTGCCGGTAGTTTCCTGGACCTTCAGGATAAATCTGGGTTGGAGGATGCCCTTGAGCAAAAGACACTGAACCCCCATATGCAACATACTGGGCAGTGATTATACTGTGCAGCTCATTCTTGACTTCTGCTGTTTTAGGTATTCCCAAACAGCAAAATCAAGCCACCCCACAGCTTGGCACCCACGGGCAGGTAAAACTGGTGCACTGCTCCTTTTCAACCCTACTGAACATATTTGTTGTGGACAATAAGCAAAAGAATAAAATAGGCAGATGGAATTGATAAGACTTTTGCAACCTCCTTCTCCTAAGTAATTTCTTCTTACACAGAAAGACACTAGAATCTTCTCTACATTACACAAGCCTCATGACTCACAATAAAAGACTGTAGACGAGTACATTTTTAAGAGGTACTTTATTCTAGAAAATCAGGATCTGTTATTCAGTTATACCTGTATTTTCCACTAGAGGGCATTAGTCATTTTCAGTGTTTTCAGTGTTGTCACATTTGTACCTCAGTATTGGTGATACTCTTCCATCACCCGAAATGGATGGATAAAAAACCCCACAACATTGTATATATTTGGCGCTGGAATATGTACACTTCTTGTACTGCAACAGATGTGCAGTAAATCTATAATTATCCAAATCCCATTTTTCTTGCAGTACACTTCTGAGCTTTTATTGCGTATCTGCCAGCACACATAGAGGCTGGTGAAGAGAACACCAAACTGGAATCTAAGAGTTGTCTGCCTTTACTCCCCCAACATTAGTCTAATGAGTCATTGGTCATTTCAAGATCCCTTTTTTGTTATAGATACGTCTTAATGCTTATGTCACAGGTCAGAGTTCTGATGTTTTAAGTTTGCTTCAGTGTGTTAAAATGTAACGGCTCTTGTGCTCCTCCTCTGGCTGCTCTTGTGCTTTTCTGGACCCAGTTTATCTCCTCAGGGGTGGTCTGAAATCTAATAGGTTGTGGGTGCGTGTGCTCTTGGTCATCTATCTTTGTGAGGCCCATTGTGAGTTTTAGACCCAGAGAGTGAGGAAAGTAGAGGCAATCCTCACTTCTCAAAAGAGTTCGCCATGCATCTGTGATGGTCAACTGTCGGCTAGGAAAAGAATAGTGTCATAGAGAGTCCTCAAGTATAGAAGTTTAAATGAGTGTGTGTTTTTGTTTCTGTATATATATCTTTGTAAGAAATTAGTTGATAATGAGGAAATCTTGGTATAGTGAGAACATTTTAGGTTTTCTAAGTTAGGGCTTTATTTTAGGTTTTCCCCACTCAGGCCGTAGCAACAGAAAAGTCGTGTGTGGGTATTAATGGAGTCCAAAAACCAGAAGCCCCGTACACATCCGTCCGACAGCTTTGTGGGGAGCAAAATACTGGAACCCACAAGTTTATAGGGCTGTTTGAGGGTTAAGACTTAGTTTTAGGGTTAGAATTTCATTGAGGTTAGGGTAAGGAGTTAGGAAATGTCAATGATGGGTCCCCAAGAACACACAAGAATGTGTGTGTGTGTGTGTGTGTGTGTGTGTGTGTGGTCCAGAAATTATCTTTTGATAGCAATAGATTGAAACTGTGTTTGTAACCTGCTTGAAGAACATTTGACTTTGGGTGACACAACAGAGATGACATACCGGATTTTATCATATTTGAGTTATGGTTAGTTTTATATATGCAAAAAACCTGCATATTCTCTTTTTGTCCCCTCAACTTCCCATACCTAATCTATATGCATGTACACTTTCTCGATGAGCTAAATTCATAAGGTCAGCAGTGAGCCATAGGTGACCTACCTTTCATTTCCTGTGACATCACTTAACAAAGCAATGGGGGGAAATTGGACTAAATAGAAAACACACACCCTGGCTGTGAAACTGGACTTTCCAGTCCAACACTCCTCTTAAGAACACTTTGTGAGTTGGAAAATGCAGTCCTTGCCAAGCAGAGTTAATTACGAAAGCACATTGGCTGGTAGTTTTAACAGGTGGTTTTGATCATTACCACTCTATGTTTCAGGTCTGCTACTGATACACCAACTGCATGCTGCAGCTCCCTCACTTACATAAAGTGACAGATACCATGCCTGTTTTAAGGCTTGGGCAGATGTTAACGTGAAAAAGACAAAACACTCATATCAGTGTTAAACAACTGGGACATGGTGACACTCCAGCAGTATTAGCAGTAGGAGTTCTCATATTCTTGCACTCACTGCAAAAATAGGCTGACAGGAGGACATGTTTTTTCTCTTGCGTAGTGTGTCAAAGATTAAATGTTGCACTCATGGCCAATGAAACAAGCTTATGCAATGCTGTGTGTTATATTTAGAGAATCAGTGCAGCAAAATAGGCAGTGCAAAAACATTTCAAACAGGATATCCCTACCTGTCAATCTTGTTCACCAAACCACTCCAGAAATACAAGCTGTATGTGAAAATAAAACCTGAAAGCAGGCCTCAGTTGTACTGGAGAATGTTTATGTAAAACGTAGACACACAGTAAGAATAATGTAACATTTAATTTAAACATTTGCTCATTTAATACTTTTCAGTTGACTCATTTGAAGTGTAGTACAGGCCTAGTGGTATTAGAATAGGGCTGCTGTATGTGCTTTCTGGTTCATATTCATACTAAATTACATACTATATTCTGGTTTCACAGGTGCCCCCTTTTGCTGTTTTGGTGATAGAAGATGGGGAGGCATCGGTTGTTACCACTATGTGCCCTCCTGGGCGTCCTGTTCGCAGGACTCCTCCCTAATCTTGATGCTCAGGAAGGTAAGTTGTACTAAACTTCATATGATCTACATCTGCAAAAAAATAAGGGATTTATAAAAGCATTCATGACATCATAACAAAAAACAAAACTATATTATATTAACTATATTAATGTAGATGTAGATGAAGTGATTACACAGTTATTCACTTTTGTTAAATTATATATATTATCTGAATTCAAACTGTGTATCTCACTATGGGAAAAAACATAGAATAAAGCAACACCATTAGTGTTCGGCATCACAACAATATTTTGGAAGCAAACACCAAGGATCTTTCCACTGGTCTTCACTTCAGATTGCACACAAGGGTTGGCAGCTGATATATACTTTCTAGTGGATTCATCATGGAGTATGGGAGAGGAGAACTTTGAGCATGTCAGACAATTTCTGTACAGCTTGACACACGCACTGCACCAGGTTGGAGGGGACAGGTTTAAATTTGCCCTTGTGCAGTACAATAACAGGCCTGAAACTGAGTTCCAGCTCAACAGCTACCCAACAACACAGGAAGTCCTGGCACACATCAAAGCTATGTCTTACCGTGGTGGTGGCACCCGAACTGGCCTGGGCCTGGATTTCCTGATTCATGCACACATGACCACTGCTTCGGGCAGCCGCGCTGTTGAAGGAGTGGCCCAGGTGGTGGTGGTGCTAACCGACGGGCGCTCCCAGGATGATGTGGCCAAGCCAGCTCAGGTGCTTCGGCTGGCAGGCGTGGAGGTGTTTGCAGTTGGAGTTCAGGATGCGGTGGACTCGGAGCTCAGGGAGATGGCTAGCCAGCCCCATGACACTCACGTTTTTAATGTAGACTCTTTTCTGATCTTGCGGGATATAATTCAAGATTTAGTAGTGGGGCTTTGCGGAGCAGTGGCCCAGTCAGGGAGTGCTCCAAACGAGGCCCCTGTGGCTGGAGGAGGGACAGGTAATGAAATGGGACCGGTGTCACTACCATACTAATGTGGCTACATGTGCAGGAAGAAACAGCTGCATATGTGGTCGTAACTGAAATTTAATATTAACAGTCAAGTATTTTTAACCACAATAACCTTTCGCTATCCACCTGCAAAATTAACATCACTTGTTTTGTCTTACCACGTTTATTGTGCCTCTAAAAATCACAGCAAGATCTGCATGTGATTGACACCCTGCAGCACCTTAGATTATGGTGTATGTAAAAATGGCACAGACATACTCTGTGCAAAGCCAGAACAGATACAGTGATACAGAGAAAGCTATTTAAGTGATGTAATCATTCTGTTTCAGGTACCTTTAAAATTGGTAGCGATTTAAGGACTGTGTTGGCATACACCAGTAACCTCAGTCAGCTCTAGGTTAGAGGACACATACACAGACAGCAACAGAGTAAACCTCAGACTGACATTCCCTCAGAAAAACTTTGGAAATGTACATGGAGGCGAGGATGCCTTACCCTTTAAAACATAACATCTTAAAATCAAACAATGAGCTTTTAACAATAGCTAACCACGCACCACTGCTTATGTGTCTTGCATTTTGAATGTTTGTCTTTATCAGTCACAATGTCTGTCTGTGTAGAATATGTGCAATATTCTGTATTTGAAACAGTGATGAACCTGCTTGGACTCAGCCTTGACCTGCAGAAGTACTTTGAGAATGTTTTTATATGTAGATGTCCATAAATTATGTGCAATATGTTACAATAAGTTACTGGAATGAGAAAATACATTCCTATGAAACTATATACACACAAAGTCAAGTGTCCCTAAAAGACATTGTCTTGCCAGTACACATGATTCAAATTAAAATAAATCAGAAACATCAGAAATATGCAAATGTGCACTCATTTTACATGGAATCACATGTAATATGTTCTCAAGTACTGTAAACTTGTAGGCTCCAAGGATAGACCACAGGATCATGACTGGTCACTTTATCTGAGGTCTATAACAAGAGTCTGCATGGATTGGCTGAACTCAAGGGAGCGTATACAAGGAGCTTTGTTAAAGGTTTAATGATAAAACTGTGTAATGATTGACTTGCAGTTGTCATCAAAGTAGTTTACTCATGATGGAGGACCTTTTGTTTTAAGTTAAATGTATTCAAAAAATTCTGAATTCCCCCCCGAATGTGGATACTTTCTTTCTACCCAAATTGATTTTATAATAAATAACAGTAATAATTAAATGTACATTATGTAAATCATACCACCAAGGGTGGCATAATTATCCATACTCCTCTCAGAAACAAATGTGTCAGGTGATTAAAACTAGTTCTTGATTAAGAACAGATTTTTGTGGTTGTGAAAATTGTTGGAAACATTTGGGATAATATAAGTACACAACTCAACAAAATATTTAATATAGGTCTAGTCTTTTTTTTGGACAATTTAATGTGGAAAAGTTACATATACCATTAATCATCAATTGATTATTATAGTTGGAAATTATCAATATACTAATTATTAAACAATTATTATCATTAACTTAATTAATTAATAATTAACATTTTTCTTTATTTCTTTATAAAAAATGTCATACTAAACATATTTGGCTATTTATCACAATTCTTTGTCTCTAACAATTAAAATTAGCTTTACATTGTGGCAGAGTTCTAATCTTTCCCTAATGTGGGAAAATATTAGTTTTCTGAAATTTAAAGATATATTTTTGCCTGATTTAGCTGTTATTGTTGGCTATACAAGACATGGAGTATTAGCTAAATAATTCTTATATCAGTGGTCCGAATCATACTGATCACGGCGTTGCTGTCCTTTAGATCATCAGTCACCCTTATCTTACTGTAATCCACATCCAATCAAAAAAAAAATAAATAAAAATCACACCAGTTTATAACAATCTTAATAAAGCGTGCTAAATTACATGAATCGACCTTGCTTTACCAACTCTCCTTGGTTCAGCCTACATGCAGTATGATGTGTTTTGCAATGTTGTTATTGATTTGTTCACTTTGAACGTCACTTGACTCATGGAACGACACGCTAGCACGAGTTCCTTGATTGATTTCTTTGTCTCACTATGTTAACGCTTTCACGTTCCATTTTGTTTTGTTTTCTCTCTCTCTCCTTAAAGCGCAAGATTCAGCTGACCTAGTATTCTTAATTGATGGATCACAGAACGTTGGAGCAGCAAACTTCCCCTTAGTGCGTGATTTGGTTTTAAGAATCGTTGAGAACCTTGATGTGGGCAGGGACACTGTTCAGGTGGCCTTGGCCCTGTACGGCGCCAACCCAGAGATAAAGTTCTATCTAAATAGCTATGACAGCAAAGCATCCATCCTGGAAGCTGTGAAGGGCCTCACCTACTCAGGGGGTGACAAATCTAACCTTGGGGCTGCCTTGGAGGAAGTGGCTGAAAACCTATTGAGCCAAAGAGCTGGGGGCAGGGCAGACGACGGTGTGCCCCAGATGTTGGTGGTTTTCAGTGCTGCGCCATCCACTGATGATACTAGTGCTGGTGACCGGGCCCTTAAGAGGGCCGGCGTTATCACATTTGGCGTTACGATTGCTGACACTGCCACTGCAGATCTGGAAGCAGTTGCTACAGATAGAAGTTTTGTCCTGTCAGCCCCTGATTTCAGAGCAGTGGCAAACATGGGTGACCAGCTGCTCCAATTCATTAACGGGGAGGTCGAGAGCACCAATATTAATCAGAATGAGTTCACAGAAGGTATGTAACTTCTCTGTAAATGTTGGCAGGGCATTGTGGTTAGGGGAGGGACTTAAAAAAGTCCAAAGACCTCTGAGAATGTAATATTTTGTGCACATGTGCTTGTTTAAATTATTTTATTCTCAGTGGTATAAGGGTTTTTAACAGAGGTGGCAATTGTGTTGCAATAACACAGTAAAAGTGAGTAACACAGTACTAACTACCAACTTGTTAGTGTTCTACACTTGAAATTTGACTCAGCTGACTAAGCTGCTGCAAATTTATAGATCCACAAAGTTCCATTAACTAACAGATATTCTACTATCAGATCATATTATTATAACATATTTATAATAAACATAACATATTTTCAACAGGGATTGACTGATTGATATCTTTATTTCGAACATGTAAAACAAACAAACAAACAAACAAAAATAAATATATATTATATAAATACAATAGTGGCAAAAAAACAACAATTAAACAACAAAATAAAACTCCATACTTTCCAGTACTTCAAAACCTCTATTTACATGTTGAAAAGGAGTAGGAAGTAAAAGTTATGTACTCCTACCACTTTATACCCTTACTATCTTACAAAATAATCTACAGAGATAATCAATCTATAATCAAAGAAAATGTGTATTCAAAAGTCATATTCACATACATATATTTATATAAACACACAATATTTATACACATACTTGATTGTTCAGTATAATCCCAAATAAATATTAGCTGTATTTCTCTGTACCTCTGAAATATAATTTCTTTAAACATATTTTTAGTCTTAAAATTTGACTTTCCCTTGAAGTCATAACAGTGGTGGGACATCATCAAAATTTTTTTAAATATATGACAAATATCTAGTTTATTTTATTTGCACAAATATTTGCACATATTTGTATCAGTAATACATTATATCATAAGGTAACATCTCTGATAACTACATATGGCCATTTTTATAGCATGAATTTAAGCTGCACTAAGTTAATTGTAATGGCTATACGGCAAAAGGTTGATTTCAAAACAAGCTCACAGTGACAAGCTTATACTTGTACTATATACTACTGTTCTGTACTATCATGTATTTTTATAGGGAGGCTGTGAGTCACCATACATACTCCAGACCCAAATCAATGATCTGAAAAGTTACATAGAACTGCAGATTGTGTTGTGCCCATATCATATCATCTATGCCCAAAGATATTTCTTGATACAGCTCGATACAGTATTTTTGTTGTTTTATTCATGGAAATAATTTGGGGCAAATATAAAATGGGTACAGTTTTTTAAATTTTTGTTGTCAAACTTTGAGAAAGAGAAAATTCCAATGATCATTGCAGTGCTAACTGCAAGAACACAACCTAACTATATATGGCTTTGTGAAACTAAATTAAATTATTTTAAGAACTATATGAATGACTAAGACTTAGACACTATCACCAATGGAATCTCAGTTCATAAAGAGCTAAAGTCCAGTGTCTTCTTTGCAAGTCTTAGGTCTGCAATGTATTTTTACTTAAATGTTGTTAATTAATCATTCATGTTATTAAGCATTTCTATTCATATTCTAATCATAATTAATACTGTCCATGGTAATATATATCTTGCAGCTGTCAAAAATACATAATCGTAAATCATACCTTATGAGAATACATCTTTAAGTTAAAACTTTTAGAAGGAGTCAACATTAGTTAACACATATCCCAAATAACAAATATAAATATGAAATATAAATCTAATTACACAATATCCTTGACTGGCTTTGTCAGTTTCTCAAGAATCTGCTGCTTATGTTAATGTTTTTCTTTCTTTTCAGTCATTGCAGTCGGCAAACGAGACATCATTTTCCTAGTCGACAGCACAATGGGTTCACAGGCTGTCAACTCTGCACGTGAATTCGTCAGAATGTTTGTCAAAACGATGCCAATTGGTCCAGACGAAGTTCAAGTGGGTATGGCCATATTCAGAGAGAGTGTCTTGCAACCTATGGTTGATCTCAACTCCCACGGATCCAGGGACGAATTAGAAGCTTCTGTGGATGTTATCAAACCAAACCAGGACAGAAAATTAACACTGGAGCAGCCTTGAACTTTGTCCGGACAAATATGCTGCGACCTGAGAAGGGCAGTCGTATTGAACAGGGGGTACCCCAGCTTTTACTGTTGGTGTCCAGCAAAAAGTCCAGTGACAGTGTGGAAGAACCTGCTAAGGCCCTGCAACGAATGGGGGTATTGACGCTAGCTGTAGGCTCCAAGGCTGCAGATGAGCAGGAGCTGAAACAGATTGCCTTTACCGACAGTGTCGTGTTCATGCTGAGGGACTTCCGTTTACTGACCCGTAATCCTGTGACAATTATTGAAAAACTCTCAACTCTAGCTGGGGTGGTGGTGACCGAACAACCCACCGAGCCAGGTAATGCATTGTCTTCTACACAATACATTCCAAGAGTAATCATTTAATGAATTAACTGGTCTTTGATGAAATAGAAATATACAGATGAGTGACAAATTAAAGGCTATATATAGAGTAGTTGTCACCAAGGTTTGTGGAACGTTGACCTAACTAACAAGATAAGTATGAAGTAAGTCAGTAGATAGTGGACAGTTTGGCCAGTGGATTAGCTTAATATATTTCAGAGAGGATTTGTTAAAGAGGAAAGCAGGGGGCTGCTAAGCACAGGGAGCTGGGTAGATGAAGAACTGGTGACAGGCTGTTACTGCAGTACTTGCAGTTCTTCATCTTGTTTTTTTAATTAGTCACCCATCTGTATGGAATAGGTCCTCACTGCAAGCTGAAGAGTCCTGGTGGGGCTACATGTTGTTCACACGGGGGAGGGGCCACATGTTTAGCACCACCCAAGTTTATAAATTGTCTCAGTATGGCAAAAATCGCTAGCTACAACATCAGACATACATTAGACATGTATTACATTTATCCTGGAACAGGTACTGTTGGGGTTGCTATGTAGAGTCATGAACAGAAAGCAATGTATAAAAAAGGACAGTCCAAATGACCCAAAACTATATATGTTTATGTTCAAGTCACAAAGCCCTCAAGCAGCTGTAGTTATTATGATTCATCTTATGATGCAGCTAAGCTAGTTCTAGTTAGTTTCAACAGATGTAACAGATGTATTTTTTATTCACATTAATATACATGTTAGATTTGGTCTACAAGAAGTTCAAAACTCTACCCAGCAACCCAAACAGTACTTGCTTTAGGATAACTTTAATAAATTTCTTTATTGTAGCTAAATAGCGCTAATTTAGATGCCAACCAGCTTTAGTTAACTTAATTGATGCATTCTCAGTAGAACTAAATTGCTGACTGACTTAAAAACTGTTTGAATAAATAATTGATTACCAGCAACATACTGTATATCACAACACAACACAAAGTGATCAACTGCAGCAAGCCCACTTAATATCATATTGATCAAAACCCAACACAATAGTAGATCTACAATATTATCCTAATATCAGTTCACACATGTGGGTGACTTACTATCCAACAAGCTATTAAAAAAGCAACCAAAAACACTAGGTTATGTTATAATGGCTAACATAGCGGACTCCTGGAAAAAGACATCGGTTATCACAATTTTTATGTCATGACTAATTTATTAATGGCTCAGCATTATCTGTACTAAAGAGAAAATAATCACTTCATCTGATGTTTAACATCCTGTTATATTTTAGGTCAAATTGACCCATTTTAAAGTTAAAACATATTTTAACAGTATGAAACTTCTTCTGCTTGGTTTAATTAAATGTGATCTGTAAAGTGTGAAAATGCAGATATTGTTAAAACTTTTGAACTTTCTTTCTGTTGAATCAACAACTAGTCTGTGGGATGCAGAGACAAGCAGAGACATGCCACAATGTTGATGTTAATATTTTCTCCAGAGTAATTCAATTTGATAATCGATAGACAAGGGCTGTCAGACAGGAGAGTGACTAGCTTGCAGCTATTAGGACAGTGTGGGACAACTGGGTAGAGCAACTTCCACTACTATTACCCAGGCCCTAATGTCACAGTGGATGAAAGGCTAGTGGTATTCAGAGGTCGCTGCCCATTTAGGTAATATATGACTGCCATACCAACTAAATATGGTATAAAAATCTGGGCAGCGGGTCAATTTGACCCTGAGCAGAAAAGATGTTTTGAGTTAATTTATCAACATCACTCAAAAATTTAATAAATAAAAATGTAAAATAAAAGTAAATAAAAATCAAGTACAGAACACCATTGCACTAAATATTGATTGACATGGTTGGTAATGAAGTTATAATATAAGATATAAACAATGTTTATTACGATTCATTGCTGTTCCTGAAAAACACACATAACAGGAGGGTTAAAGTGAATAAAATAGACTTTATGGAGTTCCACAGCTACTGATGCAATTTTTTGTTGTTTCCCCGTTTGCATTTGTATTGTTTTACTACTTACACAATTATTTTAAGTATAGCAAAGGGCGAGAGCAGTCACCCAATCTGGGTTTAAACACAGGTCTACAGGGTGACAAACATGCAACTTTGACCGCAATGCCAAAGAGCCAGGTCATTGGTATGGCAGTCCAAGTGTATTCTCAACCGTAATGACGATACTCCGTCACAATATGATTATATTATTTAAGGATATTTTTAGCATCAAGCATCTCAGAAATGATTTCTGCTTTTTCATTGCTGAGAGACAATTTATAAACCTTTTGGGTTGAGAGCTGTGCTAAATGTGTAGCCGCGCTTCAACGTGTGCCATGTTTAGCTCCTCCCCTCCTTTTATCTTGCAGTGAAGGGTATTTGTCTGCAAGTGCCCAAATCAAAGGATCAACTTTAGAGTACTTAGAGATAACAGTTTCAAAGGCATAATTTTTCTTTTTAATGTGTCTCTAACATTGTTACATCTTCTAGAGGCCAAAAGTATTAATCATGGTTTTTGTTTTTGTGCTTTTCCTTAGTGGTGGAGATAACCACAGTGCAGACTCAAAAAGTGGTCAGAGACATTGTCTTTCTTGTGGATGGTTCAAACTATGTTGGCAGCACTAACTTTCCCTACGTGAGAGACTTCATTATCAACGTGATCAACCAGCTGGAAGTGCGACCTGACAGGGTTCGGATTGGTCTCCTGCAGTTTGCTGAACGTCCAAAAATTGAATTTCATCTGAACACCTACAGCAGCAGACAAGATGTTGTAAATAAAATCTCTCAGCTCAGGCTGTCTGGAGGCTCAGTTTTGAATACAGGAGCTGCCCTGAATTATGCCCTTAACAACATGTTCCAGACAACAACTGGGTCACGCCGGGGGCAAGGAGTCCAGCAAGTGTTGGTTCTGATCACAGGTGGTCCCGCCCAGGATGAGGTTAAAAGTGTAGCCGATAAAGTGGCTGTGGGTGGTATTTTGACCTTCACAGTCAGTTCTGGGCAAGCAGATGATGAACTACTAAAAACAGTCGCCTTTGTTGAAGATTTGGCTTACCATGAAACAAGGTTCTCTAATTTACCAGCTGTGGCTGAACAAATAATGCCAAGCTTGATAACAGTGGTTGGTGATACAATGTGAAAGTACTAGAAGAAACTGGTGAGTTTTGTATTACTCTGCATTTATAAATGAAATAAATGTGACATACATTAAAGCTTCCCTGGTAACAATTCGTTTTATATTTTTGGTTTTCCTACAGTTGTTGCTGGAGCTGAAAGGGATGTTGCCTTCCTCATTGATGGCACAGAAAATGTTCGAGCAGATTTTGCCTACATCCGGGATTTTATCATTAAAGTAATTGAACCGCTTGACATTGGGATTGACAGGGTACGAATTTCAGTGGTTCAACACAGCGAGAGGCCAACACCAAGTTTCTACCTTAACACTTACCAAACCAAAGATGAGGTGATAAGAGCAGTCAACTCAATGACGCCGGCTGGTGGACGTAGTCTAAACACAGGAGCTGCTTTAAGATTCATGAAGGACACCATCTTGTCTGAAAGGCATGGTAGCCGGGCTGCGCAAAATGTCCCTCAGTTTCTGATCTATTTGGGTGGAAGCAGGTCCAGGGATAATGTGAAGGAACCTGCTGTTGCACTGAAGACAGAGGGAATTGTACCGTTTGGTGTTGGTGTCAAGGATGCAGACCCAAAGCAGATTGAAGCCATTTCACACAACCCTTCCTTTGCCTTCAATGTGAAGGAATTCAGTGAGCTTAGCACCATACCACAAAAGCTCAACACCTATGTGAGCCTACCAGGGGATGAGCTGACCATAGTGCTACAGCAAGGTAAGCTAAATCTCTTTTCTTATTGCTGTGTTAAACTTGCTGGAAGACAAACACCACTTCTGCTGATGTTTTTGGTGTTTTGTCAGAATAACTGAATCCTGTTTGTTGTGTCTTAGTACAAACCTATGCTGCAAAAAGGGATATTGTGTTCCTACTGGATGGCTCTGATAACACAAGAAATGGATTCCCAGAGATAAAACTCTTTGTTAAGAGCATAGTGGAAAGCCTCTCTGTCAGTGAGAGCCAAGACAGAGTGGCTGTGGTTCAGTTTGCTGATAACCCTGAGGTGAACTTTTATCTGAATTCTCACAAGGCAGAAAATGACATTATAAATGCCATAAATAATTTAAGGCACAAGGGCGGAAGGCGCCTTAATATCGGGGGAGCTCTTCAGTTTGTGAGGCACAGTGTCTTCACGTCCTCCACGGGCAGCAGAAGACTAGAAGGAGTCCCCCAGATTTTATTTCTTCTGAGTACTAAACCGTCAACTGATGATGTGAGAAGTCCAGCTTTTGCGCTTAAAGAGCATGAAATTATGTCAGTGGGGGTTGGAGTGGGAGATGCCAATCTTTCAGAGTTGGAAATGATTGCCTTCAAACCTGGTTTCACATACAAGGTCACTGATTTCTCCAAGTTGCCCTCAATCCAATCACAACTTGTTGCTACACTGAACTTAAACCAAGATACAAAGGAAACCATGACTGGAATCTCTGATTTAGTAGGTAAGAATTCCACATTTGAATATATTCCTAAAACTGGAGTACATTACATTATGTGTCTTCAGAATAAGTTTTATTCTTTCTCTAGAACATTTTCTATATAAAACATACGATTATGAATTGTTGTCACATTTCTGTTGCATGACATTTGTGATTAACCCTTTCTAGAAAATCTGTTGTTTAAAAAAAAAAAGCTATCCTTTATTTCTTAGGCTATCAAGAATGTAGCCATCTTTTATACATCTTTCTAATTTTCCATTTCAATGTTACTTTGAAGATGAAGAAGTCGACAAATAATTTTTAGTGAAAAAGATGGTTCTTTGGCAGTTCTGCGTGAAATAACACTTTCCGAGCAACAGCTCACCTGTCTTTCCAAGCTCAGTTTATTCCTCTGAGGTTCTAACTTTCTCACGCTGATTATAATGATCACCATGAGCGTAGAAAAGTCTTGTAAGTGCAGTTCGTGAATTATCTTTCTATCCATCCATGTACCACCTTGTTGACACAGGGAGCAATAAGAGGGACATTGTATTTCTCCTTGATGGATCGGATGGCTCCAGAAATGCACTACCTGCTATTCGAGAGTTCATAAGACGAATGGCAGAAGACCTTGACATTGATGAAGATAAGGTTCGAGTGGCTGTTGTACAGTATAGTGATGACACCACAGTTTACTTCAACTTAAAAACTCATAGATCCAAAAAGGCTATCATCTATGCTGTAAGAAGTCTTCGTCATAAAGGAGGAAGACCTCGGAACACTGGAGCTGCTCTACAGTTTGTGCGAGAACATGTTTTTACAGCTTCATCTGGGAGTCGACACCTGGAGGGAGTCCCACAGATTCTTTTTTTACTGACTGGTGGCAAATCCAATGATGATGTTTCAGGAGCTGCGTTGGACCTAAAACAAATCGGTGTTCTTTCTTTTGCCATTGGAATGAAAAACACTGAACTGGAGGAGCTTCAAAAAATTGCCTTCTCCTCCAGATTTATTTTCAACCTTCCTGTCTTTGGTGAACTTTTGTCCATTCAGCCGGAGTTAGCTGCATTTGTCCAGGCAGAAATAAAAATTGAGCCCCCCACGGTTGTAGGTAAGAATTGTCTCCGCTCATGTTTTAGTATATTTGGTCTTTCATAGTTTGAACTGCAATGAAACTGCATCATCTTCTGAAGAATGTCAGTCGATCAGTTTCATTTTTCTCAAACTGTCTCCGCTGGTGAGAGGCAACTTCCTGTTTCTTGTTTGACTCTCATCCTTTTGCTTCTTGTATCCTGGAGAGTCTTTTCTTGACAGCCCAACATCAGCAAATGTCCTTTCTTTCTCTTAAGCTCTTTCTTGAGCCAATGATAATCGCATCATTGACGGAATATTTTGAGTTAAAGAATCTTGACATTTTTTTCAGCTTTCTCCATCTTTCATATGTGAAAGAGGAATATGCTCCTTATCTTGTAGTTTTTCCAAGTTTCTCAATAATTTCTTCATCTACCAGTTTTCTTAAGTGTTCTGGCATCTAACAAATTGTTTATTTGTTTAATTTGTTTGAATTTTGATTACCAGCTCCTATTGCTTTACCAACCATTTAATGAGTAATAATTGCACCACAATAGACTTGAGCTTATGTGCTAAATGTCCGATTCTTAAACAAGGTTTCCTGTTATTTTCTAGTTGAATTAGATTCCCCTCAAAGAGATATAGTGTTTCTATTGGATGGGTCAGATGACACACGGAGTGGCTTCCCAGCAATGAAAAGTTTTGTCCAAAGAGTGATAGAAGCACTCAGTGTTGGTGAGAACAAAGACCGTGTTTCTGTGGTCCAGTATAGCAGAGATCCACAGACGCATTTCAATTTGAACACCTACACAGAAAAACAAGACGTTCTTGCTGCTGTCCAGCAGTTGGACCATAAAGGAGGCAGACCCCTCAACACTGGGGCAGCTCTTGACTATGTGAGGAATAGTGCTTTTGCTGAATCCTCTGGTAGTCGGCATCAAGAAGGTGTCCCTCAGATACTTGTTCTGTTGAGTGGGGGAAAATCTGAAGATGATGTTACAAGTGCCGCTGCAGCTCTAAAACAGGACAAAATTGTTCCATTCTGTGTTGGTACAAGAAATGCAGACATACTTGAACACCAGATGATTGCACATAACCCTTCTTATGCGTTCTCTGTGCATCGGTTTGATGATATTGGAAGCATCTATCAACAACTTGTGTCATTTGTGAAAAGGGTTCCTCGACAGCAGCCAAGACTAAAACCACAGAATGGTCTGGGTAAGACTATTTATCTATCTATCTATCTATCTATCTAGTCATAATCTTTATTTCAGTATTGGACAACTTCATTTAAAACCCTAACTGAGCATCATCCTTGTGTCTGTTAAAGTTTCTACAGATCAAACTAAATCCATTTACCACGATATTGTATTTTTATTGGATTCCTCGGATGAAATGCAAAATGACTTTAATGCAATGCTTGGCTTTGTTGAGAGAATGGTGGAGAAACTCAATGTGGATGAGAACAAAGATCGTATTTCAGTGGTGCAGTACAGCAGAGAACCATCTGTTGAATTTTTCCTGAACACATATAAAACACAGCAGAATGTTGCTGGCAATGTGCGAACTCTGAGGCATAAAGGAGGCAGACCCCTCAATACTGGCGCAGCCCTCCAGTACATCAAGGATAATGTTTTTACAGCCTCTTCTGGAAGTAGGTACCAACAGGGTGTTCCTCAGATTTTGGTTCTCTTTACTGCCGGACGGGCCAGTGATGATGTCAGAACTGCCATAGAAAACTTGAAAGGAATTGGTGTGATCATATTTGTGGTGGGGACAAAGAATGCAGATACCCTTGAGATTCAGTCTATTTCACAGGAAGCCAGTCGTGCTTTCTTTGCAGCAGATTCCAGTGATCTGTCAGACGCTGAACAACAAGTATTGTCTGCCATCAAGAAGGGTGAAGTCCCTGCTATCAAACCAATATTTTATGGTAAGACTGTAATGACTTCATTTTGTACACCACGTGCACAACTTTGCGCATTGTCAGATTTATTCCTCCAGTCATTCATTCCATCTGAGGATGAATAATGAGCAGCAACAGACCTGTTCAGTTTTGCAGACACTACATCCCCATCCATGACGGTTGTTTCAAAACTTTGTGTTACAACCGCAAGTAGAAAGTAGACGACGGACAAAATATTTATATAAACAAAATATTTTGGCTTTATTCAGGTAAAAGAAAACATTTTTGAGTATTTCACACTGCAAAACACGTTATTATAGTTGTGATTTATTATACTTGTAATTTAATAATGGTTAAAATGTTACAAGCTACACACATTTTTGGCCCATTTCACTAATAAAGTAAACCAAGCTTCAAATATTGGACACGACAACTTTGTGTCCAATATGTTCGAGGCTTTCCTTTATGTTGTTTTGGCAGTTCTGTCCAATTCCATCAAGCTCCGTCTGCTCCACTAGATTGTTCCAATGTGTTGTTTTACTGGCGGGGATTGTGTCAACAGAAATGGTCCACTAAAATAGCAGAGCAAGTTGTGCACATGGGGTTACTAAATATTTGCAGGAATAAAACACTTTTCATTACAATTGTCAACATATTTTTGTTCACCAGTTTGTATTATTGCCTGTGTGATTACAGATCCCAACAGAAGAGACATTGTTTTTTTGCTTGATGGTTCTGATGATTCTCTGCAAAGATTCCCAGATATTAAAGACTTTGTGCAGAGGATAGTGTCGGACCTAACCATAGATGCAAACAAAGATCGTGTGGCTTTGGTCCAGTACAGCAACACTGCAGTGATTAATTTTAACCTGAC